AATAATAATAATAATCATAATCATACATTATATTTTGATAGGGCTTTTCAAGGACTCAAAATCGTTTTACAATATAAGGGAAGGTTAGGGTGGGGGGTATAGGACTATCAAACTTGATCAACCGCCATGGATTGATCGGGGGGTGGGCTATGAGTAGACAAGAGGAGATGAGTTTTGAAAAGGGACTGGAATACTGTGAGGGTCTCAGAATAGCGGAGATCTTTGCATCAATATGTTCAAAAAGTTTTTTTCCAAAATGTACATTTTTTTTCTAGAATTATAAATATTTAAAAATTAAATATAAAATATTTCTAGTGTGAACCAAAATATAATACTAAATATTATACAAGTGATTTTTCTTAACCAAAATGGCATAAGAACACATTATTCTAATACGGGTCCTTTTAGACCCACTTATGGAGGAGTGTTGGTCCAGTCACTCGTGCATCTAAGGGTTAACAAACAAACAGAGAAATGTCCTCATGAAAACCTACATTTATGCGAGTTGTCACTTTGTTCAGCTTGTTTTTTTATTTTCTGTCCTCAGTGTGACATCCCAGAGGGAGGTATGGTCCCCAAATCTCTGTACAGGACGGCAGAAGAGCTGGAGAGTGAGGAGAACCGCCTGCTGACTGACTCCATCTATAAGTGTGCCAGTATTTTCAAGGGAGCCCCATATGAGGTATGACCCCTGCTTTTGAAATAGTTTTTCAAATCCACAGATGATATTATGTGGATGAGGGTGCCACCTGCTGGAAGGAATTCACACTGCAGTTTTAGATTAATATACAACTGTTAAATGGCCTGCTGTGAGCCGATCTGTGTTTCTAATCTCCTGACATCCTCCTGCAGATGCTGATCGAGATCACCGAGGCCTCCGCCGTCATCACCTGGGACTTTGACGTGTGTAAAGGAGATGTACATTTCAACATATACCATTCTAAAAGGGTCCCACAGCCCCCTAAGAAAGACACTCTCGGGGCCCATGGCATCACCTCCCCAGGGGCCGTTAACGCCCAGATGATTGACAGGAACTGGGTGCTGGGCCAGGACTACAGCCTGGTGGAGAAAGCCCTCATCTGCAAGGAGGGAGAGAGCGTACAGGTCAGAGAGCTTTCTAACGGCACTATCACCTGTCTTTATACCTGAACTTAAAGGGGTCCTTTTATACATTTTGGGCATCCCTTCCCTGTAGTGTGTTGTATAGGTTTATGTGCAAGTAAATGGTCTGTAAAGTCTAAAATCCCAAACCTCCCTCACAACCCCCCCGGCCTGAAGACACTTCGATTGGACTCCTTTGTTTTCTTCCCTATCATAGAGACTTCACTATGTAACACTGACGCTTCTATTGAATAGCGCTCCAACACATTGTAGGTAATTGACTAAGGGGTGGGGCATCTCTAACCAATCAGAGCAGACTGGGCTCTGGTTTCAGACAGAGGGTGACAAGAGGTGCTGCAGCACAGGCAGTATGAGAAAAATAAAGAGCTTTTTGAACATTAAAGCATGGAGACATGTGACAGTAGAGGCACGACATATACATATGAACCTGAAAATTAGCATAAAAGGGCCCCTTTAACTTTGGCATAGACCAATAATATTTATATATTTCATTTCATTTCATTTTTATTTGTCCCGCTCATGGTACGCATAACCAAATGTACAATAATTGCCAACAAAACATGTCTCTTCAAACACCATTGAGCGAAAAGGAGCAGGGAGAAGAATATAATCTTATATGACCTGCCCCTTTCTAAAAAATAAATACAAATAGATGGTCTGCCCTTCATAATAAAAAATTAATGTTCACAGCCAAACATAACAGTACACCCTCATCTGAGTCATACTGGAGAAGAAAGTGGAAAGCGGCACATAATAATAATAATAATAATAATAATAATAATAATAATAATAATAACAATAACAATAGGGTTAGGCTAACCCTATATATATACAGTATATATATATATATATATACAGGACTGTCTCAGAAAATTA